GCCTACAATAATATGAATTCACTAATAAAGGCATAAAGCCTACGAAACCCGATCCTCTGTCGATAGCCCGACAGAGTTGACAAGGTTCGATCCATAAAGAGAAATGACTTCGAACACCCCGATGATGGCTGTGTTGAATGATTTTCTCAACCGGAGGGGTTCCCAAATACTTTCAATTGTCTCCCAAAAGTCCATTTCAAATACTCCAAAGCTCCACCCAAAATACTTATAAAAATCCAAAGCTCCACCCAAAATCCCAGAAAACTCCAAAATTTTAAATCCCAAAAATATTTAAAATGAAATCAATCTATCAACGTACTTAAAGCAAAATCCATCCACCCTCCGCAACAGTCTGCCGGGGTGGACAAATTTAAATAAACTCTAGCTCACAAAGAGCCAAATGCCTAGTCGAAAATATCACTAGGATCCATTCTCAAACAATCTTTTGCCAGTAAGGACGTGGTACGTGTCCTCTAACCGGCAGTTTCGCCGCCAAATGGCACTGCAGGTAAACGGTTATGACTCGGGGCCCTCTGAACCGAGTGGTTTTGCCGCCAAATGGCACCACAGATAGCGGTTATGACCAGAGCCAATACGCTCCTTAATGGCGTTAAATTCTTGAGATATGAATCAATAGGATATGATTGATAGGGCACAAAGCCCTCTGTTAGCTAAGGTGGATTCAAATTTGTCCCCTTAGGCAAACATCCAACCCAGGTCTACAAGGTTCCCTTGGATGAAGCAACCCATGGCTGCCGACAAGGATCCTGCTGTCAGGTTGGGTCGACTACCTCCTATGACTAAGTAGACAGGGACCACGATGGCCTGGGACGACAGAACCATGGGATCTTGATCGGGTCTATCATCCATTCCCCCACCATCCGCTTTAAGTGCAAGATGGTGTAATTTCTAATTTTAAATATCAATCTATTTTTCTTCAAATTCCCAATTTCTCTAACCATTCTCAATACCTAAACCTATGCTGCTACTATATGACAGATACACGTATTCTCTACTTATTTGATCTATGCTGCTACTATATGCCAGATACACGTATTCTCTACGTATCTGATTGACGACTAGCTCTAATCGAAAGTTCTCTCTCGTGATCGGGAGGGGTAATTAACTATAGGGGCTTGCGCCTATAGGAAACCAGAACTCAGATCATAAAGTCCTCGCAAAATGAGGGCGAAATCTCTGGGTAGTGTCTTATCTACAAACCCATCTGCCTTCCAAAATTTACCCCGAAACTTTATTCCGTTAAAACTCCCTCGCCGAATAAAAAGAAAAAACGCGAGTGGAGGCCGGGGCCGAATTTTCGGAGCCCACAAAGATAAGAACAAGGATGTTACTTGGTCCATATCTATAGTTGGAGAGACTGCAACAACCTATATAAAGATGAAGGCTAGATGTAGAGAAGAAAAAAATATTGTTCTTTTTGTTGTTACTCTCTTCTTGTTCTTGTCGCAAGAGTTTGAATAAATGCCTCTTATTATCATGGCCAAAAGTTGTCTTCTTGCTTAAATTGAAAAAAACAACATATAATTTCCCCTCATGTTGAAGCCAAAGATCTCATCTTCAAGCTCCTGAAAACTCCTCCCTTCATCTCTTTGTTGGTAATTTCTCTCCTTTCTCTCTCCATCTCTGTCTCTCTTCCCCCTGTCTCCATTTGCTTGTTATGGCAATCTCTCTTTCTAAGGCTGAATTTATAGTAACACTAAATGACTTTAAAAACATTGAATTAATTGGATGATCCCACAAAATTTTACAAGTTCTTTTGAAGTCAACAAAAAATCTCACAAGCCACAAATGATTTGGCATTATCGTTGCAAAATATTTATCCAATATTTGTAATAAATAAAAGTACTTAATCATTATTATAGAGATTTGTTAAAATAAAAATTTTTATTCTATAATTTTAACTGTGATTTGTGTTAAAAATTTGTGGGGCTAGTATTCCTGTTTATTTGATAGCATAAGTGTCTTCTTTCTCTCATGCACGTATTTTCCCTATTGTATTCCAAAAAAGCATGTTTACACACATGCATACTTGTCAATGCAAGTGTGAGTATATACTTAGTGTGCTTCCATGTCTTTTCCTATTTTCTTGAGATGTTTTCCTATCAGACCAAATCTGTTCTAGGATAATGAAGGAATATGAAGTTTGTTGTCTTGTGTTAAATTCACCATATGCCCGTGTCTGCCATGGTTTACCATGTAGAAGGTTGATCTTACATATTATTACGTTCCCTCTTTTTCATTCATGCCAAATTGAAAGCGATTTGGGAAAGATGAGGCTACTATAGTAAATGTAAAGAACTATCTGGTGTATTTTAATACCTTATTGTTAATGAAATCAATTGAAAAGTATGTTCTTTTACTTTGAATGACCTTGGTTTTTCAGAGAACGTGTCTACTTACCTACTGAATGTTGCTGTGCTTGTAGAAAGCTGCTATTAAGAAGATGGATATGGAAGCATCAAGAGAATTTCTTGCTGAACTTAAAGTTTTAACTCATGTTCATCATCTAAATTTGGTAAGTTTTTATTCAAATTTTCCTTTATGTGAATCATTTTCTAATTTCCAAAGCACTGCAACGTGAATCTTCTATACTAGTTTATTCTTAATGTGGCGAATATTTTTTACATTTCTTGAATGTAAACTCCATACGCATGGTAACATATCTTTCTGAATAAGGGCCATGATCAATAGTGGTGTTCTCTTTTGGAATGGTGAAAACTTCCACCTTTGGTTGTTACTTGCATTTTACATCTACTAGCTAGGAATACGTTAAAAATAGAGCAAATTAATTTTATTTCTTTTCCCTTTTGTTTGTGTTTTAAATAATGACTAAAATAATTTTTAAGGATAATAATCTTTTAGCAAGTTATTTGTTAATGTTATAAATATAATAAACTTGAGTTGTTAATAGGGTTCTTAAAAAATTAAAATCTGCTTGAATTTGGCTCAGTTTGAAATCAAATCAACTCAATGTCAAATTTGTTTTTGAATTGCTTGATGTTGTCTCAAAAAATGACTCAAAATGATCAAGTATTTATGTAGAAAAGTAGAAATATGAAAGTGATTTGATTTAGTACAAAGTGTAAAAGTATTTATAAACTTTTTCAAAAATCTTATAATGGAAAGAAATCAAAGCTAATAACAAAAAAAGGAAAAAGTCCACAAGAGGGGTTGGTGGCTAGAAGAGGAAGAAGAGGCACATGGATTGCAATTTAAAGGTTATATGAGGATCAATCCTAAGGTTGGAATCATTAATCAATGTGCTCAAGAATCTTTACTAAGATTGGTTAATTTGTAGGTCGCATGGTCTTTCAACACTTCCCCTCAAATTGAATGGCATAATTTTATGATTACAAGTTTGCTTACAATATATTTGAATATGAGATTGCAGAGTCCTTTGGTGATAATATCGACTAGTTGATTTCTTGTTGATACATATGAAGTACAAATCAACCCACTTTCTAGTTTCATTTTTATGAAATGCCTATCTACCTCCAAATATTTGGTACGATCATGTTGCAGTGGATTATGAGCAATGTTAATGTTAGATTTATTGTAACAATATATCTTCGTTGGCCTTTCCTATTTGGTTTTTAAATTTTCCAAGATAATTTTGATTTATAGAGGTTCACAAATTTCTTGGTCAATTACTCTAAATTTAATGCCAACATTAGATCTTGAAACAACATAATTTTTTCTCCTTAATGTTATGAGATTTCCTCCTAAAAATGTATAATATAAATTTGTGAATCTTCTATTTACAAGTGATCATGTATGGTTTGCATCAGTGTACCCTTCAATTTATATGGTATCTTGCCTTTTATATGAATTTTTTTTTATATGGACTTGATTTAAAATATCTAAGGATTCTAAAAGCAACTTGAATGTGAGACTCTGTAGGTCTGTGCATGAATTGACTGATGAGACTTCTACAAATGTGATGTTTGGATGCGTGCGAGATAGATAGATCAATTTTCTAACTAATTTTTGATATTATCCAATGTCTATTTTATTTTTTCATGTGTCCATTTTTAACTCGAATTAGTTGAGTTTTCATAAGCTTTGCAATCAATCATTTTTGTTTCTTTCAGTAGATCTATGATATATTTTTGTTGATAGATGAATATTCTTTATTTTGATTGAGCAACTTTTATGCCCAAAAAATATTTCAAGTTTGCCCAACTTCTTAATCTTGAATTCTTCAGCAAGGTTTTTCAAGAGAGGCACATTTTCTCTATTATCACCACTTTTATCAATTATATTGTCAATATATATAATGAGAATTGTAATTTTATTATCAATGGAGTGTTTTATGAAAATGCTATGTTTCTCTTGGCTTTATTTGTATCCAGCTTCATTCTTGACTTTTATGAATTTACCAAATTATGTATGCGAAGTTTGTTTAAGGCCATATAGGGCCTTTTTTTGTTTATTGTGAAAGAACTATAAATTTCAAGTGTTGGATCCAAATATAATTCTTTTTCGATGTACCTATATAAGAAACGTTCTTTACATCATATAATCTTGCATGGATCATTCATGATTTGCTATTAAAAAAATTATGATGCGTACTATATTCATTTATGTGGTAGGTGCAAGAGTTTCTTAGTAGTCGATTCTATAGGATTGAGTATAGCCTTTGGTTACCAATCACCCTTTATGTCGTTCTAGTCTTCCATCTTCTTTATATTTAACAGAAAAAAATTCATTTGCATTCTATCGTTTTCTTAATTTTTGGCAGTTCAATGATCACTCAAGTGTGATTTTTTTTTTAAGAGCATTCATTTCTTCATCGCATCCTTTAAATTCTTATTTTCAAGTGCCTCAAATAGGATATTTGGTATTGTAATGGAATTGGAACTTATATTTGTAGAGACTTTATGGGTAGGAGAAATTTTTTGAAAAGATGTGTAATTATAGATATTATATTTGGAGAATGCATAGTAAGGGCCTAAGGGGTTTATCATTGTTACTTGCTGGAGATTTTTGTTGGGCTTATTCCTTCTCGTATATACTTGAAGGAGTACAGTATCTGAATTTGTTGGAGGTTGTGTTGTTACAATATTAAGGTGAAAGATAGAGATTTCATCAAATGTATCTTTTAGTTGAGAGTTCTTCTGAAAATGAGTTTGATTGACAAAACTTTACTTATCATAATGTGACATCTTTCGAAGGATTTCAAAACAGTTTTTTGACGGCATGATAATAACACTTATACCTTTATTGAGTTGAGGCATAACCGTTAAAGAAATATTTGAGAGCTCTATGATCATGTTTATCTCAGTGTTGTTTATGGGTGTGGACACGAACAATGCACTGAAAAATTTTTGGTGAAACTTTTGAGAGGAAGTTCTTTGTGGGGAAGAATTAAACTAGATAGTTTAGAGGATCTTTGAAGACAATTACCCTTGAGGGTATTCTATTGATTAGGTATGTGACAGTTATGATTGTTTCTCTCCAATTTTTTCTACACTTAATTCTGGAAAATAAGAGTTTTAGTGACTTTCAAAAATGTCAAATTTTCCTTTTCACCACTCCATTTTGTTGGTGAGTGCTCAGAGAGGAGGATTTGTTGATGAATTTTTTTTTGGAAAAAAGATGATAATGTGTGATTAAAGTAATCACAAGTATTATCAATCCAAAATACCTTGATGTTACTATTAATTATTTCTGTATTATTGTCCGTAAAATTGAGAAGAATAATGCTCATATTAGATTTTTGTTTGATAAAATATGCTCATGTCATATGATTGTAATCATCAATGAAAATGATAAATTCTGAAGCTCTAAAAATGTTGAGTATTTTGGAATGTCCTCAGTTAAGAGTCTATAATTAGAAAAGGAGTAGAAGATTGATAATTATTTTAAGGAAAAACAGTACGATGATGTTTAACAATTTCATAAGTTTTACAATGAAATATTTTCATTCATAAAATGAGATGGAAATATATATTGCAGGGTTTTGAAAGAGGGATGCCTTAGCTTATAATTATGTTCTCATATGGATTTCATATTTAGTGTAGAAATGGAAGAACATGAGGGGAGGCACACAAATTAGAATCTAATAGTTATAAGAGGATCGAGACAACTATTATAATCATTAATATTTGTGCTTAAGAATCTCTATTGAGATTGATGGACTTGTTGGTTGCACGGTCTTTCAACAATTTATATAAAACATATAATGAATATAATATGATATATGTATACTATATAGTATGATACTTACATTATTTACGTAGCTAACTAATTAAAAATAAAGTTCGGTTCGACTTTGAATCAAATCATTTTGATTTGATTCAGTTTGGCTTGAGATGACTTAATTTCTACTCAAGTTCAAATCAAGCTAGAATTGAATTTTTGTTGTTGTGAGATGAGCAAAATTCAACGCAATGTCAGATATGTTGTTGATAGGTGCTTTAAAATTGTCTACATTTTTGTACATCCTGATTTTCAGCCATGAATTTTTTTGGTAATTAATATTTACCTTATGTTGCTTTGTGAGTTTTACACGCCATTGTGATATGTATGGAAAAATCATATTTGTATCTGGTGCTTATCCACTTTTGTTGCTGTTTATGCAGCATCTTTCCGACACTGATATACACTTTTTTTTTCTTCTTTAAAGTTGAATTTTTTTGGTTGGATGACATTTTCAATGTTATTATTCAAATGCAGGTTCGCCTAATAGGTTATTGCACTGAAGGCTCCTTATTTCTTGTTTACGAATTTATTGGAAATGGTAATTTAAGCCAACATTTGCGAGGATCAGGTAAGATAATTTTGAGATCAAATTTTTTGTAGTGCAAATCAAGTTTTAGTGCATAAAGGTCAAGTTGCAAAATTTCATATCTATAAATGATTTTAGGCAGGGATCCTCTTCCATGGCTGAGTAGAGTACAGATTGCACTTGATTCTGCAAGGGGTCTAGAATATATCCATGAGCATACAGTGCCAGTTTATATTCATCGTGATATCAAATCTGCAAATATTTTAATAGACGAGAATCTTCGTGCAAAGGTTTTCCTATCTTTAATTCTTTGTGCTACAAATTTATTGTAATTTTATAATTAAAGAAATTTTTTCTCCCAGGTTGCAGATTTTGGGTTGACCAAACTTACTGAAGTTGGTGGTGCAACCTTGCAGACCCGTCTTGTTGGAACATTTGGTTACATGCCTCCAGAGTAAGCATCTTATATTTCTATTGTTAAACATCCTTTACTTCTTCTTTATTGGTCTAGACTACTAATTTCTGGTTTCAATGTTCTTGGTCCTTCGCTTTTTATTTTTCATCTATTGTATGCTGGAAAAAAATTCATCTGTTTAAGCAGTTGCAGATAAGTTATTATTTTCTCATATTCCCCTAAGCTCACCCCAACCACCAATGCATTGAATTTGGAGGTTGTAGCCAACTGCTCACCTGTTGTGTCTTTACTCCCCACTCTCTCCCTTTCTTAGACCCAAAATTCTCATGGTTCTGGTTGTAGAGGAATGTTAGCCACCTCCCTGCCCCTTCCTTCTCTCCCACTCATTTTCGCTCTTTGTCATTGTCCCTATCAAAAAGGATGCCTGCAATTAAGGTAAATTTTAATTAAAAATAAAATGTTAAAAGTTGGTAATGAAATTATTACTGATGTCCCTAATTGCTAATTATCATTCATATGAGGTAGGTGGTTATATAATTTGAAGTAGCTGTGATCAATTCACACATATATATTAAGAAATATAGATATATGTATATATTGACACACGCATCTTTTAAGACATTATTCAAAACATGTGCCATCTTCAAAACTTGGGCATAATTTTGCTTAAGAGTATATATATTGATGTTCGATTTTTCTATGATCACAATTTGTTTCAAGTAGATGAGCCATGACTAATATATCTTTGAATCATTTTGATCATATCTACATTGTGTTGGGATGCAAAATGGAACTAAGGATTGGGTTCATAATAACTATGTTGGCTTTTATATATTAGCTTTAGCTTTCAGATTGTTTGGTGTACACCTGTTAGTATTGAAGAGAAGAAGCCTTCTGTAAATGGAAACTTTAGACTTGTAGGCTTTTGTATGATTCCTTCGAAATCTTCTCTAAAGTAATGGCTAATAAATTTGGCTTTTATTAAGGGGAGAGGTATTACTGACTGCATCCTAATAGCTTATGAACTTATTCATAGTTCGCCAAGATTAAAAAATAATTTATTTTTAAGGTGGACTTTAAAAAAGCTTTTGATTGGGATTTTATTCTTTCAATTCTATTTCATAGATTCTTTCCTCTTTAGTTTATATCCTAGAACAAAGAAATTCTTGTCAATGATTGGTACCTCCTCATTTCTTTTTAGTTGCTTTATTGGTAAGCAGTTTAAATGCTTAAGAGGAGTTGACAAACTGATCCTTCATACTTCTACTCTTATAATGGTGGGAAATGCTCTTCACAAAATGATTATAGTACTTATCTGATGAGGTGGATTGAGGGTTCTGTTAGAGAAAATAGTTCTTATTCTAGTATCCAAGTTATTGATGATACTATCATATACTGTGCTGCTGATTCCAAGCAAGATCTTTAAAACTATACTCTTCATGTTTGAATGAGCTTGTGGTCTCAAAGTTAACAACTGCTAAATCCTCTCATGGTCCTGGGTTTAGTCTTCATCAATTGCAAACTTGGAAACCTTCCTTATGAAACTCTGGGAATTTCTCTTAACAATGAACAACCTTAAAACCAATTGTGGCTTCTAAGCTTTGATTAATTAAGAGAAGTTTGGCCAGTTCGAAATGCAAATTACTATTCAAATGTGGTAGATTGATTATTATCAATTAAGTATTTTCATCGATTCCTCTCTATTATACTTCTTTCTTCTGTATTCATTCAGGGGCCATTAGGAAAATCAGGTGTAATTTCTTTGGCGATATTGTTTGAAAGGGAGGTTTTTTTTGTGCTTCAGGAATCCTTAATCATAGAACTCTAAATCTCTCTTTTGGGGAGATTGATCTGGAAATCTTTGGAGAAGAACTGTCATCCTCTTGACGGTTCTATCATTCAAGATAAATATTTTTAGCGGAAAAATGCCGTAGAAATCTTGAAGGTTAATTTTTTTGCTCTCATTTTATCGTAGGGGTTGAGAAAAGCTCTGAAGCTTTTTTGAAAAATATTGTTAGGATTCCTTATTTGAAGCGCTCTCTTTTATGCTGGTCTTATATCTGGATTGATCTCTGTTCTATGGCCGCTATTTTCTCAGATCTCTTCTGTCTGGTTTGGAATAAAAACTGAACTATTCAGTCTTTTGTTCTTTGTTGGCATCTACTTTTTTGCTAATGCTGAGGATTGTGTGGGATGGGTAACCAGAAACCGAAAGGTTTCTGTTAAAACCTTCTATAATTTTCTTATTGACGGTGGGATCAGGAGTTTAGTTTGGGATATGTTCTAGGATTCTTCTATCACTCTCAAAATACCTATACATGCCTGGTTGCCTTCCAATTAAAAACTTCCTCGTAAATTCTTATTAGCTTAACATGGTACATTTCACTCCACTACGCCTATTACGTTCAATGCTTCTGAAGATGATTTACATCTCCTTTTCAATTTTGAGATTGCAGATAACCTCTGGAGAAGAATAAACTGGTTGTTTAATATCAGCGTCACTGTGTTTCCCTCTTGTGCGTTTTCATTATTCATCGGTTCGAGAAAGCTGAATATTTATGCTTCTTTTAAAGTCCTTTTTATTCTTTACTTTAAGTCTGCTATATGAGTTATTTGGTTGGAGAAGAATTGAAGAACCTTTAATTACAATGTCATTATAAATGAGAGGCTCTCTATGGTTTTCTTTACGATATCTGGTACAAAGGGAAGCAAGTCATGTAAACTAGAGGCAACTATGAAAGTTGTTTGAATGACTGATGATCTCAAAAGTTTTTTCATCGGCAAATTGTAATTTTTATGCTGTAGTTATTTATTTGATGTTTTTTGTGGTGGCTTGAGTCTGTCTTTTGATAGAACTCTTTTGTGTTCCCCTTTATTGTTTGCTATTGTGTAACTTTTTCTCTGTTTTAGTAGTGGGGTGTGATATACCCAAGCTATTACATTGATAAAAAATCCTGTTGAGCTACAAAATAACGTAATGTTTTCTAATTTTTGGGGGTAAATTTCTATGTTAAAAAAATCTCTTTATTTATCCAAGAAATTTGTTTGCTACACATCTGCAGGTATGCTCAGCTGGGTGAGGTTTCTCCTAAAGTTGATGTGTATGCCTTTGGTGTTGTCTTGTTTGAACTTATTTCGGCGAAAGAAGCCATTGTAAAATCAAGTTCTTTGATGGAATCAACGGGTTTGGTCTCTCTAGTAAGTTAAAAAACTCATTTGAATATTTCCTTTGACAATAGCAATGTTTGCCATTATTACTTCAAATCTTTATTATTATTATTATTATTTTTTGTTAGAAAGAATATGAACTCTCCATTTAAGATCAATATTAATTACCACTCGCTCAGTTCTGTCATTTTTAACTAAAATGCTCAGTTTATAAAGTATGGATTTAAATGAAAAAAAGAAATGAATCTCTCTAGCCTGTTATTAACTTATTCTTTTATTAATCTCCTCTTCCTCACAGTTTGAGGATGCCCTTAGCCAACCTGATGCAAGGGAACATCTGAGGAAACTAGTTGATCCAAGGCTTGGAGATGACTACCCTATTGAGTCAGTCCTTAAGGTACATACTCCTACTTGTAATGTTTGGTTTGATATCAATTCTGCAGTTTAAATAGATTCCTTACAATTAATTTGTGATATAGTTTTATTCAAATTTATATTTCATTTGGGACAGCTTTTTTGTTGCTTTCTAAAATAACTTTTTAGTACAAAAATTTCTTGAATTAGAAAATTTTATACTAAAAGCCATTTTAGGAAGCAATACTAAAGTTGTCCCAGACTTCGTCTGGGATGACTTTCTTAATGCTTCTTAAAATAGCTTTCTATTATAAAAATTTTAATTTTTAAACTAAAAAGTTGTTTTAAAAAGCCATAAAAAAGTCGTCTCAAACGAAGCCTTATTCATGTAAAATGCAACCAACACTACTCACCTTTACACCAAATCTAACACATCAAAATAAAAGTATTTCTGTTCTTCTAACTTTGTGAACTCAAAAAAAACCCCTTAATGTACTAACATTTGCTCTTCTATTTGATTTCTGTACTGTACCAGTTGTCTCAACTAGCCATGGCCTGTACCCAAGAGAACCCCCATCTAAGACCCAGCATGAGGTCCATTGTAGTAGCTCTGATGACTTTATCTTCCTCCACTGATGAATGGGATCTTGGTGCCTTATATGCCAATCAATCCATGCTTAATCTCATGTCAGGAAGGTAGCAGAATTGATAGTTACAGCCATTTATTTTTATTGTTTTACTTGTCATGAGTGGAAGGGAGAATAACCTCCCATTCAGAGGTCTTGAGTACCAGTATTGATATAAGCAAAGCATTTATGTGTAGAATTTGTCCTTTTGGTACTCAGAAAGAGAGAATAGTCTGTATATTTGTATAAAAGATTACATTAACATTGAATTGTAACATTCTGCTGCTGATTTTTTAATCAGTTAGAAAGTTTTTGTTGATTGATTTGAAGAATTTTCAACACCATAGTTTCCTTCATCTATCATATATTGATCAGAGCATATTGGTTTTGATTTTGATTTTTGTTTTGAGGCAATAAAGATTCAGATTTATGATGAGTTATTAATTAAGATTAGTTTAATTTAGACTAATTTAAAATATAATGTATTTTTTAAATGAAATTAATGGAAAAATCCATTAAATTTTTAGTTGAATAAAAGAAAAGTTGGACTTATTTGAGGCAAATTTACAGTAAGAGTATCTGACTTGATTTATTTTGAGTTTCTGATGGCTTAATGGGCATTATAATTCAGTGTTATAACAATTCTTGGAGCAATGTAAATCTATGTTATATAAATGTTTGGTTCTATTATATGCTATAATGCTTGCCATTGTCACATTATAGATTATGGTTTAGGTTTGAGATAATTTTTTTTATTGTTTTATTTTTTATATCACAATTATCATTTTTATTTGGCTTTTATTTCTCTGCTTTAAAAAAAAAAAAAAAGTGTTTGTAAACTCTTTAAATGCTTGTCATTTCAGTTTTTAAAAAAGTTTTTTCTTCGATAGTCTTATAAAGCAGTAAGAAAGTTGTCACAAATTAAGGTTTAGTATAAGATGGCTTTCTTAATGCTTTTTAAAATAATTTTTTAATACTATAATTATAAAAATAATAAGAAAGTTGTCTCAAATGAAGTCCAAGATTTTGTTTGGGACAATTTTTTTTATATTTTTTTTTTCGTTATTTTAAAGAAAGTTTTATATTAAAAAGCTACTTTATAAAGTATAAAGAAAATTATCCCAAACGAAACTTAAATCTAAATGTTATAATACTATAAACTAACCGGTCGGCCGGCCGGTTCGCGATTCAACCGGTTGAACTGGCCTGTCCGGTCCGGTTTTAAAAGCATTGGAAATAGCTATCAACCATAGCAAATGTTAAACTCAATAGCTATTATTCATTTATTCAACAAATCTTTTGGAGAGATGTCATTTTTAAAGTTGTGACACAATTAATTAGCATACAAATCATAATTACAAATTAAAAATATCAATTTGTGTTGCTAATCTTGTGTAATTTTTTTTTTTACAATGCTTCACTCATCAAGAAAACTCACATAAGATTAGCACCATAAATTGATGTTTTAGTAATAAAAAAAAGATTTATATTACACATTATTTGGTTCTTATGGTTGGTGAAATTACATACCTCCATAAAAGTTCCCTAATAAATAACTAATGTCTCTTGACTTTTAATAATTGATAAGATTGATAGCCAATTAAATTAAGAAGGCATACATAAATATTAGTGAAGTTGATGATTTACAACCATGAAGAAAAGTAGATCTTTTATAAGCCAAAAGCTTTTGGGAGATGGTTTTTCCTCCATATAAATATTTAGTTAGGACATTTGCATGTATAGCAAAACCAATGAAATTAAACAATTTTTGCAATATAACGAGGAAAATATTCAAACTATGTTCAATTAAAATTCACACATTGTTGGAATATTATTCGGACTATATCTAAATCTCATTTGAATTTTATTTAGTTACAATTTAGGATTTAGGATTTATAAAAAGTTATTAGTCGAACACTAGGGTTGAAACTCTTGCTACAAGTTCTTTCCTTATTTAAACTTTCTTCTTGTCTAATTCGAATCTAATGATCGAATACTTGTTCAATCCTTTTAAAACAAGGATCGAGCATTGAACATGCTATCAAATAAAAATTAAATACGAAGTATATGTTCAAATAAGGATCAAAAGTTAAACCCGGGGTTCCAACGTTGTTAGTTTTAGAACATAGGATTTTGTTTTCGTCTCTTTCTTATTATAACCTATGAGAATAAGAATTGACGATGAATGAATTCTAATCTAGATAATGAAAAAAAATATCAATATTAAATTTTCACAAGATATTAAAGAGATGAATTATGATGAAGAGATGCTATAAGAAATTGCAAAGAAAAAGGTAGCTTTTTTATTAATGTTATAAGAAACAATGGCTCCTTTTTATATTGTAGAAATAATTTTGATAAAAAAACATTTTTTTTTATCATATATTGTTAAAGAAAAATACATTTTTTTCATGTACAAATATTTTGAGATTTTTTTTTTTTTGAAAAAAGTCGTTTTTTTTTTCTAGTTCATGCTTTTTGCGGCCTAGCGACGTGACACGACTGCGTCTGCGTGGCTTTAAAAATTTCCCCGTTTTTCCTTTCTCAAAATGCAAAGCTGACATTTTTTAGTGATTCTTGATTCGATCTTTCAAATTTCATGAACTAATCTGCAAGGGAAGTGAGAAGGGAGGAGTTCTTCTCTTTTTCGGCGTTGATGGCGTTCCTTCGGCTTCCTCTGATCCTCCGCCTCCGGCAAACCCTTTCTCCACTCAATAGGTCTTCGATCGTGCATGTCGAAAGATTGGATTATAATCATGGTGGCTGATTCTCACAAATCTCTCTGTCTCATTCACAGGCACAGCATTGGATCCGTGTCTTGCTTTTCATCTGGGAGTGGTTCAATTGAGATTAACATCTCAGATGAGGAGAGCAGACGCCGTCTACACAACAGGTTTTTTTTTTTTTTGGTGAATTGATACAGTTCCTTTTCTCTGTTTGTTTTGGCATTCGCAATTAGTGATTTGTCTGTGGCACCGACTATGCTTATCTGTTTCATTCAGATTGTTGTACAGGAGCAGACAGAGAGGTTTTCTTGAACTGGATTTGATTTTGGGGAAATGGGTGGAGGAGAACATACGCTCTTTGGATGAAGCGAAAATTAGATCTCTTGTTGACGTGCTAAACCTGGTAATTAGATCTCTTGTATTGTATTGGACTTTTTATGATATAATTGAGCTTATATTTATTCTTCTAGTAAACCACTTTTTATCATATAGTTAAAGTAGCCAAAGGATGAGGCCTTTTTCATTACAATTGGCTTAGGACATTAATCTGGATGTACACTTCAGATTTCTACAATCCGCTCGAAAGAATTTGATGGAAGCTTATTGTAAGGGATTAGTAGAGAATTTGGAAGGAGAAGGGAGATGGGAAATGATAAGAATCAAAAGTTCTATTGAAAATGAAAAGTTTTATTAAATAGACGGCTTACATTATTTATATGAGTGTGCATGAGATCCCTCAATCATAAATGGAAAGGAGAGAAGAGGGAGATAATATGAAGGTCACATTCTATTTGTAGTTAACTTCGGTAACTTAACCCTTACAAATAGGAGAAATTATTAGGCGCGGAGACTGGACGTAGAGATACGTCCGGACATCAACTTAAAATTTGACATGTGGAGTGCACTTTGGTTGCACTTTTTTTGTTGCGCTTTACTTGTGCTTTAATTGCATTTTAGTTGCGTTTTGATAGCTCTTTTGTTGTGTTTTTTTATTGTGCTTTGACTGCGATTTACCTGCACTTTGCTTGCGCTTTGGCTGCGCTTGACTTAAAGTTCTGCGAACACATTAAATATATAAGTAGAATTCTTTCCTTGTTTATTATGCTCTATTCATTGATTATTGATTATGGGAAAGTTGGTTGATGTGCTAGTTACTTTTGTATTTGAATGTTTTTAAGTTTAATTATGGCATTCCTCTAAAAATAGATTGAATCAAACCCAAAAAATCTTGCATATTCCTTAGAAAATCTATTTAAAGGACAATGTTAACTATGTTTCTTTATGGAATATCAAATTCCTTAAATCTGGTCTGTGTAACATTCAACTTAGAAGACCATCTCCACAAGATTTCTGTTTGATGATAATTATTGTTCAAATGGTGGCAATAAATAAAAATCAAAGACAAATAAAAAGAAATCAAGATGTTAATTGCCAATACAAAAATTTATTTATGGGCTAATTGCTCAACCCTCAAAGAGGTTTCTCTTAATTAGTTAAGAAACAATTTTATAAAAGAAATTCATATTAATTCTGGGATCAAATTATGGGTTGTTGGTTTGAAGCTTATTGAGAGAAATTTTTAGGGTAATTTATTCCTCCCATTGAATTTCTATGTCAAAAAATTGTTCAAATGGGCCAAGCCACTATAGAAGGCACAATTGATGGCAAGCGTGATGCTCTAATGGTGCGTTATGGCATGCAAAAATGAGCATTAGTACAAAGCTAACCAGCCATTGATGGAGATGGAAGAATAAATCAAAAAAGGAATTTAGTTTTCAAAAGAAAAAAAAAACAACACTTAAGAAAAAGTAGGACGTCTGTTCTAATCGTGACACACCGTCCTGCTGCTTGGCTTTGCTTTGTAATGAAGTATCCCCCAGCCAATACAGTTATACTAGTGACATAAGAAATACAACATGATAAGCCAAGCAAGATAAAGACGTGCCGTGGTGACTGTGGCTGGTTTCCCATTGTCGGAATGGCCCTAATCGCCATTCCCTGGATCTATTGGATCTTAACCTGCTTGTACCGCACCATCATGCCCTTCTACAAGTCACCGTTGACAGAAAACGGCGGCTTCTCCGGTGGAGTCGCAGGTGTGTTCACCAGGAGAAGGGAGGCGGGTGAGGTTCGACGAGACAACGGTTATCGGAACTTAGGACGTCGGCGGTGCTGATCCGACAGGCAAAAGGGAACGTCGTCGAAGGAGCGAATTCGAACAAGAAGGAAGGAGGAGCTGAAGAAGCCTCTCGTGCAATCTTACACCTCCTGCGAAGCAATGAAGCCGAACAGCAACGATGCCGAGGCATTTTCGTCGAGCGAATTTAGAACCCGCTCATATTGAGCGGGTTTCTAATTCCCGCAAAACAGCCTCCCTAATACACCCCTAATGCATCGGATGGTTTTCTTTTATTCCGCTCAAAATTAACCAAACAACCCAATTTAGTAAATACATGTATTTGTTTTACTTTACACTCCTAATTCAGGCAACCAAACAGCCCCTAAATATGGTCTGTGTAACATTCCACTTAGAAGACCATCTCCACAAGATTTCTGTTTGATGATAATTATTGTACAAATGGTGACAATAAATAAAAATCAAAGAAAAATGAAAAGAAATCAAGATGTTAATTGCCAATACAAAAATTTATTTATGGGCTAATCGCTCAACCCTCAAAGAGGTTTCTCCTAATTAGTTAAGAAACAATTTTATAAAAGAAATCCATATTAATTCTGGGTTCAAATTATGGTTTGTTGGTTTGAAGCTTATTGAGAGAAATTTTTAGGGTAATTTATTCCTCCCATTGAATTTCTATGTCAAAAAATTGTTTAAATGGGCCAAGCCACTATAGAAGGCAAATTGATGGCAAGCGTGATGCTCTAATGGAGCGTTATAGCATGCCAAAATGAGCATTAGCACAAAGCTAACCAGCCATTGATGGAGATGGAAGAATAAATCAAAAAAGGAATTTAGTTTTCAAAAGAAAAAAAAAACAACACTTAAGAAAAAGTAGGACGTCTGTTCTAATCGTGACACACCGTCCTGCTGCTTGGCTTTGCTTTGTAATGAAGTATCCCCCAGCTATTTAAAAGCCATATGGTCTGTTGGAAGATATCTTCCTCTCTTAAGTTATGCAGTAGTGTTTTTTGTGTGTATGAAAATCTTTAAGGGTTGAGTTTGCTTAAGGCATCGATATATAGAGTTTGAACTTCATCATCTCTCCTACTCTTTTTGTCTGTCTGGTTTGTGGTAGAAAGTAACTCTGAAGATTGATTATTCATCTAAGGATCGTTAGATAGGATGTTCCTTGGATCCTAGTTATTATATTATCCTAAGGAAAAGGAGACTAAAAAATAAATAAATGAATGAAAGTCATTCTAGTCATGCTACATACCTAATTAAATAGAGTAATGATGTGAATTTAATCAATAGATCAAGCCATCAATCAAGCCAAAATGTTGATGTGCATATAAATCTTAAGGGTCTTCTTATTAGTGCCATTAATTTCATTGGGAAAAAATCATGGGCAGAACAAGCTTCTCTTTTGAGGGTGGACAAAATAGAATTGTGAAATATATAATCTTATATATGAAATATAAAATAAACTTCTTTCTTAGCATCTGACCAACTGTATTTATTGAAGCAGGAAAAATGGCTAAAATGTTTATTTTTTTATGAAAAAAGATTTCTTAGTGGGCAATTACCTATTCTCTTAAGAAAAAGAAAGATTTCAGGGTGAACAATTGTTCATCCTGAGCTCTTCCTGGTTCCACCTTTGGAAACAATAACCCTCATCCAAGGAGTACCATAGAGTACCCAATAAGTTGGCTGGTGATTGGTGATGTAGCTTATCATATCAATCAAGATTCATCAGAAGGTGATCAATATCACTAATAGTCTAATAGATAAATTATATATATCATCTGAAAACCCTAAGGTGAGATCATATATTAGAATTGGCCCAACATCTGATAGAACTGTTCTTGATAGAAGAACCGAAATTGAATATGCTCAAGAAGATGTATGAATTTAATATTCATAAACACTTGCAGGAATCTTTGGGGTTTCCAATATGCCTTTTAGTCTTTAATGTTGAAAGTTTGACTAATGTTCATGTTAATTGACAAACCAATAACATAATTGTTTCTTACATTCTAACCATTTGATAAGGTCTTGAGGCTCTAGCATGGAGTTTCTTGTAGGTGTTTTGTGGAAAATGTCCAGTTTGAATACATAATGCATTATCATCCTTTATTGCCTAATTCTGGGGACGTTTAATTGTGAGCAAATAGTGGCTATGGTGAGTTATTTTTAATGTGATATAAGGTCACTAAGGCTTTTAGAGAAGGAAAAGCCATGCTTTTGATTGATATGATATATTTTTTTCCAACAATGTAATGGGTTGAAATATACAAAGTTTCTCTTTCTGAAGCTTTGCAATGATTAGTATGACTTTCACAGTTTCAAAGAGGAAGCGCAATGACATCTATGCAGGACATTTTTTCCAAAACAATGTCATATAGCTTTTGTTGAGCCTCATCTGCCGTCACACCTGCCCGTTTTTGGAATAAAACGGGTTCGTGGGTTGAGTCGGGTCAACCCGGTAACCCGAGCGGGTTGGGCCCGGATTGAAATATTTGACCCGTTTGTAAAAATGGGTCGGGTTCGGGTTGACCTGTTTTGACCCGGCTCAACTCAAGTTTCACCCGAATCCGAACCATCGATCCATTTTAACACCCCTAGATGCTAGTTTCTTCGAAAACTACTGAGTTATTATATGATAGATATGCTCATACTGGTGTTGATTAAGTATGGTATTGTGGGCTCCGAAAATTCGGCCTCGGTGCAGAACCAGGCCAGCCTTGGGTGAGAGGCTGGGATGACAAGAGAGGTCTGGAGGGAGGGCCAAAGCATGGGAATCAGTAATCACCTTATTTGCTGGACTTTATAGGCTTTTTTTAGGATGTCTTTCTTACTGCTTAAAATAGCTTTTTAAAAAGCTGCTTTAAGAAGATGCAGTAAAGCCGTTGTCCCAAACGAAGCCTAAATTTGAGGTGATGTTGTTATAAATAATAGTACTTGAATGTTTATTTTTTTCATATTGATAAATGTGAAAGATTCTAAAAATAATGGATTTAGTGATAAATCATAGCCCATAAAATTTCCAAGATATATAATAATGCAATCACTTTATTTCTTAGATAGAGAGTGCTGCATTATAAAATCAGTTGCACTTATAATAATATTCTTTAGAAAAATTTCTATTGTTCTTCATAAAATTTTAATTATTGAATGAATTTTTATTGATAATTTCAATGTATTGTATTGCTCTTATAATAGATGCATTATTGGGTGTCAACATAGATCAATGAGGCTTCTTATGTCAATAATAATCATCATAGCTGTTATGAGTTGTTTTAGTTTTAGGCTATATTGCTCATGCATGTTATCACACCTTGGTAATGCTCTATAAATAGAGGCCTTGGGTTGATGTAAGATTTGGGGAAAATTAATGAAGCTTTAAGTATTTTCCTCCCCAATTGTTGTCTCTCTCTCTCTCCCTCCCTCTCCCTCTCTATCTCTTGCAAGAAGATCTCTCAAGATCTCCTCCAAGATCCCAACAAATGGTATCAGAGCTAGGGAGATGGAGGAAGTTCTTTCGGTCAAGCAAGAGAGGAGGTTTTCCGTGACATTTGCCATCAGAAGGAGTATTGCTGGCTCGGCCAAGGGAGCTGACGGACGTGCGAAATCGGGTTGAAGTAGGCTTCGCCGGTGGTTGGTCAGGCTGAAGGCAAGCCGGGCTCGGGTGTGTTGGCTGGCAGCGAAGGGCTTGATGATCAGCTGGATTAGAAGGTTTGGAGGCTGGCAGTGAGACTTGACGTCAAGATCGGCGAGCTCAGTGAGGATCAGAAGAAACCCGATCGGGCTCGGGGTCACAGAGGTGTGATCCGGAGCTGCTGGCCGGAGGAGAAGTTTTGGCTCACGGAGGTGGGATTCCCAAGAAGTTCAGCAGGCGTGGTGTTCAAATATGATCGGAGCGCAGACTTCAAACGAGCGGGAGTTCGGATCTTGCGCACATGAGAAGATTGGACGTCGGGACCGACTGGAAGAAAGATCTGTTCTTGATTAAAAATCGGTTCAGATCTTTTGAGGTGGAGTCTTAGATTTAGGTGGAGTCCAGAAGGCAGCTGTAGAGGCGGAGAGAGAGACCCTTGATCTTGAATTCCATCAAGGTGGAGAATTATAGGAGCATGTTGAAGCATCAAGAACCTCGTGGAGGCAAGATGGTCGCGAACTTGGGATTGTGACGAGCGGAGCACAGGTGAATGCGCAGGGCTCGGTGGACGGGTGGATCGTGCGAAGTCGCAGGTAGGAGCGCGCACGGGTGTCCAGGGCGATCGGTTGGATTGCAATAAGTTCGAGTTCTTGTGACAAGTGGTTCTTTGTTTTTGTAAAACTAAATCAAGGTGGAGATTGTTATGAGTTGTTTTAGTTTTAGGCTATATTGCTCATGCATGTTATCACACCTTGGTAATGCTCTATAAATAGAGGCCTTGGGTTGATGTAAGATTTGGGGAAAATTAATAAAGCTTTAGGTATTTTCCTCCCCAATTGTTGCCTCTCTCTCTCCCTCCCTCTCCCTCTCTATCTCTTGCAAGAAGATCTCTCAAGATCTCCTCCAAGATCCCAACAATAGCTCTACATAAAAATTGAAACAATAATTTTATTATAAAATGTTTGATCAATTCAAGAGCTCGAGAATTCCATTATAAATTGAGAGATTAGGGTTTTTTTTTTGGGACAACTTTTTATCATATTTTAAGTATTTTTTATTATAAAAATTTCTTGGTTTAAAATTTTTATGTTAAAAAGTTGTTTAAAAAAGTTATGCCAAATGAAATTTAAGGCTTTGAAATTTAAGCTGTGTTTGGGAGGATTTTCTTATTGTTTTTTAAAACATCTTTCTAGATAAAAATTTATTGGTAAAAAATTTTATATTAAAAATTTGTTTTAAAAAACAGTAAGAAAGTCATACCAAATAGAGGCTTGGTTTGGGATGATTTTTTATTGTTTTTTTATAGCAAGTGTTTAGTGCAAAAATTTTAGGTTTTATTTGGGATAATTTTCTTACTGCATCTTAAAGCAGCTTTCTAGTACAAATATTTAATTTTTGTACTTAAAAGTTGTTTTAAGAAGCAGTAAAAAAGCCGTATCTTAGTTTTTGTATTAAAAAGTTACTTTAAGAAGTAGAAATAAAGTCGTCCTAAACAAAACCAAAGTCTAAAACTTTGATCTTATTTGGGACGACTTTTTTATTATTATATATACAATAGTTTTAAGTATAATATTAAATGAAAATAACATAAAAATATTGATCAAAAACTGCATCAAGTGAAGCCTATTTTAAAAAAATTAATATGAAAATTCTGAATTTAAATATAAATTTGATAAACATGTGATCTATTATGATGCAACAACTTATACTTTCGGAGCAAATTATTACGTCCGGATACTAATCCAGATTTGCCACGTCACCAAAATATAACGGGATTCAGTGTATTTGGGACACGCTCAGAGACATAATAATTCGCCATACTTTCGCACACTCACCTCAATATTTTATCTTATACGGTACTTCACTTTTGTACCATCAATTATTAGTTTAATAATTTGGTGCATCTATGTCATCAATGACGTCACAACTTTAAATTTATAAATAATTATTTATTTTTTTTTTTTTTGGGAAATTTATTTATTTATTTAATTTGAAGACTTTAATGCATATTATAGAATAAAAATAATAATTTTAAATATAAATAATTAAATTTTAATATAGGGGCTACTATGTAATTAGTGGTCGTCATAATACAATTAGAGTTTGAAAATTGTTGTGATATATATCTAACTAGAGAACGCATTTTGTTTAGTCTAACCATATCAAAATGATCATTTTAAGAATAATTTGAAGTTAAAGATAGATTATTTTTTATATTTATGTCACTTTGATTGTTGGATAATAAGTTATGCACTCCGCCCATGGTAGAACCCGATTTACACCGCTAAACAATCAAGTATGAGACTGACTCCACTCATTTTTGTAGCAGAGCCCGTACAATCCTCTCCAAATAAAATTCAAGGCTTAGTTGATGGATTGATGAAAGGGTTAGAGCGATTTAATCGTATACTTGGGTAACTTTAATGATGCAAATGTCAGCAATAGAAAATATCTATTTTTAAGTTCTTATAATAATTGAATGGTGCAACGTGAAGGCGGTTCACATACATCATGTTTGACAACATATTTTCTTTCGATGAATTGAGTGATAGTCATCATAAAATATAAAATATAAATAAAATTAAAAAATAATTAAAATATATATATTTTCTAAGAGATCGTTAAGGCTCAATTATACTTTGCTCAATGTACGACAAAAGGAACGAGAATCCCTCATAGATTAGATGGCAAGATTCGCCAAGGTAACACTAGAAGTAATAATTTCCAAGATGCTTCTTGCAAAATAGTTAATGATCAAGGTTTATTAGACTCACCTTATTACTTTATCACCAAAAAGCTTTGAGCTATTATGGTTGAAATGCTCTTGAAAATGACCAATCTACTCTCCAATAAATGAGGCCGCTTTTTTGTTTTTATAACTCAACAACAATTATCTAATTGTCTTGAAAGATTTGATAGACATTATAACAATCATCATGATAGGGATTAATGACAAGAAGCTTTAAGAGGTTTTTAGGTTAACCAAAACCATCAATTAGATCAATGCCATATTCCTCTTGGTTGGGAGGATTTAGAACTTTCTATGCTAAAGGCCTAAAGAGACCAATCCTTTTATTTGACCATGAGATTGAAAAAAAAAAAAAACTATATGATAATTCAGGATGCATTAACTAGCCAGCATCTATCTGTCACATGTTGATAAATATTGACAACTTTAATGTAATAATTTAAGATAAATAATTCTTTGATTAGCTAGTGTTATGCATCATGATGAGAGCGACCATGAGTTTAAGAATTGTCAAGTCTTAAAAGCTATGTTTAATATGCAACTTGATGATGGGCAATTTCAACAATAATTGGTGATATTAATAATCCCTCCTCTCTCAATCAACAATGTTGGCTAACCAACACAAGTAAAAGGATGACAAATAGTGTTATTTGTGGAGTGACATAATTGGGATATAATTAGCATCAATGAGCGAGTTAAGTGATCATTGGTTGAGTGGACCTAAAGCTACTTAGAGTCAAAGTCGATGACAATTTGGCTCATTTGAGGTAAATCTTCACAAAAACCAATGATTATTTTATAGTTGTTGACCTCTTCTCCATCTAAAACATCTTTAATGATGCCATCATCATCCTGGCAATAATGAATACTAGCAAGGTGTTGTGTGACCTTATTGATATGGGCATCTTAGTAATACCATTGTTCGATGCTTGATGGGTTGAATGAGGTTGGATGTGGACTAGTCAACCTTGAGGTCACGCTAGAAGATGGCAAGTACTTTGTGACTAATAATGAGGACTTCATGGTGCTTTGGGCACCATTCGTGTACAATGCAACATCCATGTTGAGACAGTCTCTCATTAGTTTTCTAAATTAGTTTTCCAAATAATGATGTCAACTTACAAATCTTTCATTAAGTTCTCAACTATGGACAACCTTATAATGGAGTAAAGCGACTTGGTCACTTTCATGAGGTATTATCTCAACACAATGCTGAAGAACTTGGACCTATGATTAAGGCATGTCAAGAACAAAATATCATTGACAACAAATGTTTAAAGAAGCCTATGAAGTTCCTAAAAACTTATTGAAGAGTTTAGGTGCTTTTTCAAAATCAATGATTCTTATGAAGGCACTTATCTTTTAAATGTAATAAACTTGTTTAGAACTAACCAATATGTCTTTTCATGAGAGCACTTTGAGATGTGTGACATTAGTATAAATTTCACCTACCATCATCTTCATGTCCAACTGAAAGGCAATTTAAATCATTAAAAAATAGCGCAATCACTCCGGTGAAATTTAAGGTGCAATCTAGGAGGAAGTGGAGAAGCTTCATGATATCGAATTTATCAAGTTAGCTAGGCACACTTAATAGAACTTCAACATTGCGATGCTCAAGAAATCTAACGAGAAATGAAGAATGCGTGTAAACTTCATAAATGCAAATAATGCTTGTCCAAAAGACCCATACTCACTGCTCAACATAAACATACTAATATTAAACCCACATTCTTAAGTTTCCCTTCTTGTACAATCATCTAATCAATTAAGAAAAGATAAAATTTATGATCAATAAAGGAATATTTTGTTACACCATAATCTTGTTCAATTAAACCCACATGCTTAAATTTTCTAAATACCTTCTAATACAATCATCTGACTAATTAAGAAAAGACAAATTTTATCATCAATAAAGAAATATTTCGATTAAATTGTCAAACTGAACATGGTGGAGCACCAGAGGAACAGACGATCAACGAATTTTTTTTATTTTTTATTAATTTTTTTATTGCTTTAAAGCCGATTAATTTGAACGTGAGAAAGGCCTCTAATTTTATCAATAAATTATTTTTCGTACTGCTAAACCCCAATTCTCAATCGAGGATGGTGCGGCGTAGACCAACGTTAGCTTTTCTGCTATAAATCTCTATTCAGTTCTAGCTTAAGCAGATCTGTGGAAGAGACAGAGAAAGAGAGAGAGCTATGGCTGAAGAAGAGAAAATACCACTTCTGAAACCCTACAAAATGGGCAAATTTAATCTCTCTCACAGGTGAGCCCTTCTCTCACAGTTCTGTTGCGATCAGATCTGTAATATGTTTAGGAACTGGAAGAGATTAATTGTTTTGCTTGTAAATAATTTTCAGAATAGTATTGGCACCACTGACAAGGTCAAGATCTTACGGGAATGTCCCACAACCTCATGCCATCCTCTATTACTCTCAGAGGGCAACAAAGGGAGGTCTTTTAATAGCTGAAGCTACAGGGGTTTCTGATACTGCTCAAGGGTAATTTTCAGTTTAATTTGTTTTTATTTATTAATTTAATTGAATTTTTATTTTTTTTTTCAATTTGTTGCAGCAATATAAATTGAATACTGTTCTTAATTTTATATTATTGGATGAATTTAGGTACCCAAGCACTCCAGGAATATGGACCCAAGAACAAGTGGAAGCCTGGAAACCTATTGTTAAGGCTGTTCATGACAAGGGTGGTATCTTCTTCTGCCAAATATGGCATGTTGGAAGAGTCTCAAATAATGGTAAAAGATATTATTCTAAGACACTCTGTTGATAGTAGCTGATGATTCTTTTGTGCGATTGTTCTATATATTTGCACTCTGATTGATAAAAGAAAGGATTTTGAATGAGGGAGATGAAGAGAAAGGAAGTGATGTGAATTATTTTCTAAGTTTAGGGTTTAGGTAATGTAATTATGTTGTTTCGTAAGCATAAAGTTAGTTTAGATGCTGTAAAAATTCTGCTTAAAGAAAATTCCTCTCTCTCTACTTTTCCTTCTAATTAGAAGAGAAATACATTTTTGAGTTATAGAAGAAAATAGAAGAAAATATTTCTCTATATTCTTTTGCCATCTCCTCATCTTGATCTCTCGATCGAGAGAAAGTAAAACTTTCTTCTAAATTCATTCTCTTCTCGCTTTTTATATGTTAACAATCAAATCATTAGTTTGTATTAAGCAAAAATTGTGGAGAATTTTTTATTTGTAAAGGACATGCTATACATGTATTAATGGGGAGAATATTTTAGGACAACTTAATTTGATATGGATTGTGTTTTTATAGGTTACCAACCAAACGGACAAGCACCTATATCGAGTACTGATAGAGCAGTCCCTCCTCAAAAACAACATGATGACACTGTGGAAGAGTATTCTCCTCCACGGCGCTTGACAACCGAAGAGATCCCTCTAATTGTTAATGATTTCAAACTTGCAGCAAGAAATGCGATTGAAGCTGGTATCTATTTATATATAACACATTATTCTTGTGCTAAATTTTTAAAAGCATATGCATATATTTGCTTATATATGTATGGTGTTGTTATTCTTAGGTTTTGATGGGGTAGAGATCCATGGGGCACATGGTTACATAATAGAACAATTCATGAAGGATAGTGTAAATGATAGGACTGATGAATATGGTGGAAGCATAGAAAATCGATGTCGATTCGCCCTCGAAGTCGTCGAGGCAGTCGTTAATGAGATCGGCGCTGAACGTGTGGGCATTCGACTCTCTCCTTTTGCTGATTACATGGAATGTTGGGACTCAAATCCCGAACAATTGGGACTTTACATGGTACAATCATTGAATAAATATGACATTCTATACTGCCATATGATCGAGCCAAGAATGTCAATTATTGATGGTAGAAGGCAGATTCCTCACCGCTTGCTGCCTATCAGAAAGGCTTTCAAGGGTACTTTTATTGCTGCAGGAGGATATGATAGAGATGAAGGCAATAAGGTGGTGGCTGAGGGTTACACTGATTTAGTAACATATGGGAGGCTATTCTTAGCTAATCCAGATTTGCCAAGAAGATTTGAGCTGAATTCTCCTCTCAATAAGTACAATAGGTTCACATTCTATACTCCAGATCCAATTGTTGGCTATACAGACTATCCTTTTCTAGATGACTAAAGCTGTTCTCAATATTTATATGAGAAAGTAGAGTTAATGTGATTGTTGAAGATGAAAAGTGAGCGAATAGATGTTGTCTATCTCCAATTGTTTTCTTTTTATTTCAGTAAAGGTTAAGTGTCAGATCATAGGTGTTAATTCTTGTTCAATGTATGTTAATGATTGTTGGCTTGGGGAATATATAGTGAGAAAAAACCTATTAATAGAAATTAAATACTTGCTATTTGGTATAAGTGATGCAACTGAAAGGTGTTATTTGAAGTCTCTCTCCTGATGCTAATTGTGTAAGTTCAAGCATAATTCTATGACATATAACATAGTATTAATTAATTAAGAAGATATTCATTCAAACTTATATGAAATATTTAAAATATAAGTGTAAGACAAATAGCCAAAATATGTAGGAATACGAATACAAATGCAGGATGATTTTAATATACAATTTAGAGCAATGATATATGAAGGGTGTATGTGGACAATTTTATCATCGGCGCAACACTAATTTCTTATAGTTTTGTGGGCTCCGAAAATTTGCGCCTCGGCCTCCCCTGTTTCGAGAGAGATTTTAACAAATTAAGTTCTAGGATAAATTTTCAGAAGGCAGATTGAGTTTGTAGATAAGTCACTACCCAGAGGTTTCGCCCTCATTTTGTGAGGACTTTAAATCTGAGTTCTGATTTCCTATAGGCGCAAGCCCCTATAGTTAATTACCCCTCCCGATAGCGAGAAAGAACTTTCAATTAAGGCTAGTCGTCAATCAGATACGTGCTATGTATTGGCATATAGTAGCAGCATGGGTTTAGGTGTTTGAATGTTTGATATTTAAAATTTGAAATTTCACCTTCTTGCACTTAAAGTGGATGGTGGGGGGAGTGCTAATGAGCCAGATCAAGATCCCATAGTTTCGTCGTCCCGAACCATCGTGGTCCTAGGTTTACTTAGTTAGAGGAGGTAGTCGACCCAACCTCATAAAATAATCCTTGTCGGCAGACATGAGTTGTGTCGTCCAAGGGTACCTTGTAGACCTGGGGTGGATGTTTGTCTTAGGGGACAAATTTGATCCACCTTAGCTAACAGAGGGCTTTATGCCCTTTTGATTATATTCTATTAATTTATATTTCAAGGATTTAGTGTCATTGGGGAGCATACGGGCTATGGCCATGATCGTAATTTAGTGGTGTCATTTGACGACAGACCACTCGGTTCAGAGGGGCCCGGTTTAAACCGTTTCCTTGTGATGCCATTTGACTGCAAAACTGCCAATTATATGACATGTGTCATGTTCCTGCTGGCAGGAGACTGTTTGAGAATAAATCATAGTGATAATCTCGACCAAACATTAGCTCTTTGTAAGTTGAAGTAGTATTTAAATTTATCCATCTCGGTAAGCTGTTGTAAAAGGTGGATGAGTTTTGCTTTAAGTGTTTTGATGGTTAATTTCAATTGTTAATATTTGAATTTTGGGATTTTTAAAGTCTTGATTTTTATGGGCATTCTGGAATTTGAGGGTGTTTTGAATGCTTGGAATTAATCCATCCAGTTAAGATCTACGTTCAACACGGCCATCATCATAGTTTCATGAGCAATTTTTTTTATGGGTCGAACATTGTCGAGTCTGTCTACTAGCTAACAGAGGATCAGGTTCATAATTGGCTTTATGCCTTTTTTAGTGATTTTTTTTTCATTATAGACCTTAAAGGTCTAATATGAATGTATAAAACAAATGTCTCGGTCGATGTCATGACCGTATATTTGTTTGATAGTTCGAGCCTTGTCAACTCCTATCTACTCGCATAAAAGGATATGACTCAAACTTAGATTTATCATTTGACCCGCGAAGCATTCTCAGACGTCACATGTGCACTTGTAACACGCTCGTCAAGGCCCATGCAAGTGTATATTCTTACATGTATACAGGTTAATATACTTCCGTGTGTGCTTTCATATTTGTATGTATACAATGTACAATATGCATGTGAGGGCATTTTAGCAATCATCTGACACCGATCAACTGTGCGGGCAACCCTCGCTTGAGTGTGTGTAGCATTCCATTTGAGAGCTTATACACGTCTTTTGTCCGCTTGTATGAATATTGTGGATGTATGGCGTGACATCACATTATGGTTATTTGTTGATATGTTGTGTAGTGGCACTGGTAGACACTTTCTACCCGCTTGTATTCATATTGCGAATCTAGTGGCAAAGCGTCATGCTGCGGACTCTTGGTTGCTTTGTGCAAGTGAATGCTCACATTTGTTGGCGACCTTCAGATAGCTGCTTGTGTATGTGACATGTCTCCTACGGTGATTCGTAGGAGTTTACATTTATACTTGTATATTCACGTGTACACATGATGCGACTTGCATTTGTGTGCTATTTAGTTGCAGTGTAACATTTTGCATTTGTTGTATATTACATGATGCATATTTGCGAGGGGCCATTTTGATTGGTGTTGACCGCAGAAGCTCGTTATACCCACTACATATCTGTCGTCATAGTCTGCAAAGGCTTACTTTCATTGTATACTGTGTTGTGTATGTCTTCTCTTTACTTACATGTCTTTCATCATCATCTTGTGAACAATATATCGAACATGTGTTAAGAGTCCCTCGTGATTTGAAGGTAAGTGTTGCTTATGGTTGTATGGTGACATTGATATCTTCATCAGACCTCTATTGCTCCTACCCTTTGATGAATTGTGGCATTTGTACTACAATCCTTCTTCTACTTGTAGGCCAGGTATTGTATCAAGGACAGATCTCCTACAATGCTTCTCAGGAGCTTGTATGCACTACAAATGTGTTGCTCAGATATATTACGTGATTATATAGTTTAAATATGTTTATTATAAAAATTCTAGTTATTTTTGAAATAAATAATTGCAAAAAAAATAATGAATTTAAATATTTATAATTTATGAATATTACAAATATTTTTATTTTTTTAATTATACAAAAAAAAAATGTATGAATTAATAAAGTATTTTAAATTAAACTTATTTTTTTAATAGCCCAACTTGCGTGGACAAAAGTTTGCCATCTACTTGACTGAAAAAAAAAAAAGTAAGCCATCTATTTTGGCCATGATTGAAGTAATTGTCAAATAGGTAGGTAATCCTCAGTTGTCAATCTTGGCTGGTGGCTCCATGGCGTGCAACATACACTTCCCTTCTATGAATCTCTATTGAATTCTAACATCTTCATCAATTGAGTTGTTTGAATTGATTTAAGAAGGAGATCTCCAGACAACACACACACACACACAGCTTGCACAGTAAGCTATGGCAGAGGAAGAGAAGATCCCCCTGCTCACACCCTACAGAATGGGCAAATTTCATCTCTCTCACAGGTCAGTCCTAGTTCCACTCTATTTTTTTAATTTGGTCTGTTATCTTACTTCACCTGCATTCAAGTAGAGATTTGAGAGACATTTTCTTTCTATCCAATCTGTTACATGGCTTTTATTGCTGGAGCTTAGCTTATCGATTAAATGATCTGTTGACATCAGAACTGTAATATGTTTACAATTAAATGAGATTGATTGCTATATTTGTAAATAATTTTCAGAGTAGTATTGGCACCACTAACAAGGTCAAGATCCTATGAAAATGTCCCACAACCTCATGCCATCCTCTATTACTCTCAGAGGACAACTAAGGGAGGGTTTCTAATTGCTGAAGCAACTGGAATTTCTGATACTGCTACAGGGTACTTGGTGATTTTATTTGCTGTTACTTAATTTGATTTTTTTATTTTTCAATTTGTTTGAACTTATTTTTCTAAGGGGCTGTTTGATATCCTATTTTAGGAAGGATATAAGCAATGTTTGACTTAAATCCTGAATCAAATAGAAAACCAATTTATCAAAATTTAACAAGATTTAACAATTATCATGCCAAATAATATTCAGATTATAATCCTTTCATTTTTTAGTAAATTTGGATTTACAGTATTTATTAAGTACTGCTTGGACCTAAATTTTATAATTTTGCTTGAATTTAGGTACTCAAGCATTCCAGGAATATGGACCAAAGAACAGGTGGATGCCTGGAAACCCATAGTTAAGGCAGTGCATGACAAGGGTGGCATCTTCTTTTGCCAAATATGGCACACTGGAAGAGCCTCCACTTATGGTACTCATCTGACCATTGCAAAGGAATTAACTCCTCAGTTGATAATAGCTAATGATTCTTGTATGTGATTGTTCTATATATTTACACTCTGACTGGGACTGGGAGAAGAAAATGAAAGATTTGGAGTGAGAAAAATGAAGAGAAAGGAAATTATGTAATGGTGATCTCAGTTCTAAGAAAGAAAAGAAAATGATTTTTCTATAATTGATTGAGAGTTAAAAGAAAATGAAGGGAAAAGTATATTGAGTTATTATTAGACATGGATATCTTCCTGATGCATGAGATCCTTTCCCTTGGATTGTGAGTAATTTAACTCTCTTGATTCATAAAGATGAAGTTAGATTAGATATAATGAAATTTTTAACTTTAAACTCCTGCAGATCTAACTAGTGCACAAGAGAGATTTTTAAGTAATAATTTCTTTTACATGTACTGGAGAGAATTTTCTAAGATCAGGTCAATTTGATATGCACTGTGTTATTGTAGATTACCAACCAAATGGACAAGCACCTATATCAAGTACTGATAAGCCTATTCCTCCCCAAAAACAAGACGATGACACCATGGTGGAGTATTCTCCTCCACGGCGTCTGGCGGCTGAAGAGATCCCTCTAATTGTTAATGATTTTAGACTTGCAGCAAGGAATGCAATTGAAGCTGGTATGTAAATATATAAAATATAACACATGCTATTATTGTATTAACTTCTTTAAAAGCTATATGTTTGATGCTATGTCCAGGCTTTGATGGGGTAGAGATCCATGGTTCACATGGTTTCTTAATAGAACAATTTATGAAGGATAGTGTAAATGATAGAACTGATGAATATGGTGGAAGAATAGAAAATCGGTGCCGATTCACCCTTGAAATCGTCGAGGCAATCGTCAATGAGATCGGTGCGAAACAAGTAGGCATTCGACTCTCTCCTTTTGCTGATTACATGGAATGCTGGGACTCAAATCCGGAACAATTGGGGCTTTACATGGTGCAATCATTAAACAAGTATGGCATTCTATATTGCCACATGGTTGAGCCAAGAATGTCACTTGTTGATGGTAGAATGCAGATTCCCCATTGTTTGCTTCCTATGAGAAAGGCATTCAATGGTACTTTTATTGTTGCAGGAGGATATGATAGAGATGAAGGTAATAAGATGGTGGCTCAGGGTTATACTGACTTAGTAGCATATGGGCGGTTGTTCTTGGCTAATCCAGATTTGCCTCGAAGATTTGAGCTAAATTCTCCTCTCAATAACTACAATAGGTTCACTTTTTATACTCCAGATCCAGTTGTTGGGTATACAGACTATCCTTTTCTTGATGACTAAAATTTTCTCTATACTTACAAGTGAGTGAGTAGATTGAATGTCATTGTTGAAGAGAAAAGTGGGAGAATACGTGCAATTTATCTCTGATTGTACCCTCTGTATTTCATAAAAGATTATGTATCAGATTATATTTTTAATGTTCTTGATCAATATTTGTTAAAAAGACGTCCCTCTTTATATAATATTGAAGATATTTCTCTTATGGAGAAAGGGGACCAACTGTTTGATGCCCTATTCAGTCATGAGACCAAGAAGACCTGGTGCCTTCTTGGACTAAGGCTTTGTTTTGGATAACTTTCAGGCTTAGTTTGATTCGGTTTATGCTTATATAAAAAGGAGTTTTAGAAAAGGAGGTTGAGAAAAAGCCGTTCAATAAAATGGAGTTTCAATAATGAGATACGTTTGACTAATATTTTTAAAAGTACTTATTAATACTTGAAAGTAATTTTAAATTGTTTGTTTAGGAGTTATGCTTTTGAAATTTTATTATAAAAGACATTTTGTGACCAAAACTCCGTTTTGTGACCGAAGAAGCAGATACGAAAAGAATTTTGTAACCGCCGGAAAAACGATGTTTATTAAAAAGGAATTATTGTTAAGCTTTGATTCCAAACAGTAAATACTAATTGATTTTGGCGTATTCAAACGGAAACGGAGAAAAAAAGCCTAATCAAACGAGGCCTTAGCCATTGTTTTTTATTGCTTTCTAGAAATATTTGTACTAGAAAGTTGTTGTATAAAGTAGTAAAAAAAACTGTTCCAAATGAAGTCCAAGTAACATTGAAAAGACTTTTTGCTACATTTTAACTAAATCAAGCACTCGAAGCTTATTTGGAAGTTTTAGGATAATATTTAAGGGACCAAAATAATCTCTAAATTTTACATGTTTGTAATCAAAATGAGCTTCTCAGCGAAAGGAATCCAAAGAGCCCAAGATCTATCAATTTCAAAGTCATTATGATATTTTAATGTCTAAAAATGATCTATGATCAAAGAAATCAATGCAATCCGTCTGATGAAGTGTTTAAAATTTTTGACTAAAATAATAAAAATATCACTAAAAAATAAACCTCCATTATTCACATAAAGGGGACTTAAAATTGGAAAGTTTAGAGATTTGTAGAATCCTAAAACTTTGCCTGCCCATGGACATCGGCAATCACCATCACAATTGCTAACACCCGATTGTCGTCACCTAGCTGGCATTGCTCAACTATGATTGTCCGATCTTCATTGCCCAATTATCATTACTCACTGCTCTTGCCTGACTTTCATCTCCAAACCTTGAACCAACACCAATGTCAGTCATCTGTCACTGTTTCTCAAAAAATTTTCACTACATTTAGAAGAGTTCAAGCAAGCTATCTAGATATTGTAATCCTGTCATCTCTCATTGAGGAGAATGATGTAGCACATGGATGTGATCCTAGTGAAGCAAAAGCAAAAGCACATGAAGCTCAAGTCATGAATAAATCATGAAGATTTACATAAATCATTTTTATGTGTTTTTAATGTATTTTCATAATTATAATGTTGTAATTGTATAAGTGTGAGTCCTGGCATTTGTAGAGTTGATTATATATATAATCAAATAAAATCATATTTAAATATGGATCATTAAATAATAAAATTAAAAAAAAAAACAAATTAAATTAATTATTCTGCCGGACGCAAACTTATTATGTATCCTAATTTCTTGGACGAAAAGAAAAGGTATACGTCAATAGTGAATGGGGACAGGCACCGTATAGACCACATGAGTTTCTCTTCTATAAATCTCTATTGAATTCTAACATCATCAAAGCTTTAGCTGTTCGGTTTTTTTCCAGGAGCAGAGCTCGCTTAGTATAGCTATGGCAGAAGAAGAGAAAATACCACTTCTGAAACCCTACAAAATGGGCAAATTTCATCTCTCTCACAGGTCAGCCCTATGTCCACTTGAAAATTTAATTTTGCTTGTTTATTTTGTTAGTTTACCTCCATTCAAGGAGACAGAGTTAGATCACTTTTCTTCATATTCAATCTTTACGTGCTTTTTATAGTTTGAGCTTTGCTTCTTGATCAGATCGTCTGTTGTTATCAGAAAAATTAATGTCTAAAAATTAGATGAAATTAATTGTCTTATTTGTAAGTATTTTCAGAATAGTACTGGCACCACTAACAAGGTCAAGATCCTATGGAAATATCCCGCAACCTCATGCCATGCTCTATTACTCTCAGAGGACAACAAAGGGAGGTTTTCTAATTGCTGAAGCAACTGGGATTTCTGATACTGCTACAGGGTAGTTGGCAAAATTTTATTTGCTGTTATTTAATTTGATTTTTTTTACCCCCAATTTGTTTGAACATATTTTTCTAAGGGGCTGTTTGATATCCTATTTTAGGAAGGATTTAAGCAAAGTTTAGCTTAAATTTTGAAGCAAAGAGACAACCAACGCATCAAAGTTTAGCAAGATTTAACAATTATCATGCCAAATAATATTCAGATTATAACCCTTTCAAATTTTGCTAAATTTGGATTTGCAGTATTTACTATATGGACTTGAATCTATACAGCTCACCTTGATCTATTGGTTGAGAACTTTGATTATCAACCAAGAGCTCTTGGGTTCGAGTCTCAAGTATTGAAGGTGTATGCGAGTTTGTCTTAATTGACCTGAATGTCCCAAAAAAAAATAAAAGACTTGAATCTTAATTGATACCAAAGATGCTCTAACTTTTAAAATTTTGCATGAATTTAGGTACCCAAACACTCCAGGAATATGGACCAAAGAACAGGTGGATGGCTGGAAACCTATTGTTAAGGCAGTGCATGACAAGGGTGGCATCTTCTTCTGCCAAATATGGCACACTGGAAGAGTCTCCAATTATGGTACTTACTTGAACCCTTGTAAAGGAAATAATTCTCAGTTGATATTAGCTAATGATTCTTTTATGTGATTCTTCTGTATATACAATCTGATGGGAGTTGGGGGGAAGAAAATAAAGGATTTGGAATGAGAGAAATGAAGAGAAAGGAGATAATGTAGATTATTACCTCAGTTTTAAGAAAGAAAATAAATTAATTTTTCTATAATTGATTGAGAGTTAAAAGAAAATTAAGTAAGAAGTGTATTGAGTTATCATTTGGCATGGATATCCTCTTGGATTGGGAGTAATTTAATTGATAGAATGAAATTTTTAATAAAAAATTTCCCAATGAAAACATTAGTTTGCAGCATGCAGAACTAACTAGTGTAAAAGAGAGATCTTTTAGCAATAATTTCTCTTGGTAAAAAAACATGCCATGCAAACTAAGTACATGTACTGGAGAGATTTTTCTAAGATAAGCTCAATTTGATATGCACTGTGTTGTTATAGGTTACCAGCCAAACGGACAAGCACCTATATCGAGTACCGATAAGTCTATCCCTCCCCAAAAACAACATGATGACACCGTGGCGGAGTATTCTTCTCCACGGCGCCTCGCGGCTGAAGAGATCCCTCTAATTATTAATGATTTTAGACTTGCAGCAAGAAATGCAATTGAAGCTGGTAAGTAAATATATAACATACAACAAGTGCTATTACTTCATTAGTTCCTTTAAAAGCAGAAGCATATATTTTCTTATAAGTTTGATGTTATTCCCAGGCTTTGATGGGGTAGAGATCCATGCTGCCCATGGGTACTTAATAGAACAATTTATGAAGGATGGTGCAAATGATAGAACTGACGAATATGGTGGAAGCATAGAAAATCGGTGCCGGTTCGCCCTTGAAATCATCGAGGCAGTCGTAAATGAGATTGGCGCCGAGCGTGTGGGCATTAGACTCTCTCCTTTTGCGGATTACATGGAATGTGGGGACTCAAATCCAGAACAATTGGGTTTTTACATGGTGCAATCATTAAACAAATATGGAATTCTATATTGCCATATGGTTGAGCCAAGAATGTCAATTGTTGATAGTAGAAAGCAAATTCCCCACCGTTTGCTTCCTATGAGAAAGGCATTCAATGGTACTTTTATTGCTGCAGGAGGATATGATAGAGATGAAGGTAATAAGAAGGTGGCTGAGGGTTATACTGATTTAGTAGCATATGGGCGATTGTTCTTAGCTAATCCAGATTTGCCACGAAGATTTGAGCTAAATTCTCCTCTCAATAACTACAATAGGTTCACTTTCTATACTCCAGATCCAGTTGTTGGGTATACGGACTATCCTTTTCTTGATGACTAAAATTTTCTTTATACTTACAAGTGAGTAGATTGAATGTCATTGTTGAAGAGAAAAGTGGGAGAGTACATGCAATTTATCTCTGATTGCACCCTTTGTATTTCATAAAAGATTATGTATCAGATTATATTTTTAACATTCTTGATCAATCTTTGTTAAAAAGAAGTCCTCTTTATATAATATTGAAGATATTTCTCCAATAGAGAAAGTGGACCAACTGCTTGATGGCCCTATTCAGCCATGAGACCAAGAAGCCCTGATGCCTTCTTGGACTAAGAAATCCCTCTTTATGGCTATTGTTTTTTTTAACCTTTCAAGAAATTTTTGTGTTAAAAATCTGTTGTAGAAAATAATAAGAAAAATGTCCACAATGGAGCCTAAGTAATGTTAAATAGTCTTTTTTGTTACATTGTGTTGTTGTTGAAATTTTATTAAATTTCACATATATTATAATGCAAATCACAATTGAAAATTATTTTATTTTATATATTAAATATATTTTTATAATATTTAATATAAAAAAACAATCAAATTTATATGTAAAACTAAAGGACTGGTCAAAATTGATGAAGCTGAGGATTTTTTTGGTAGTTTTGAGAAATCAAAATCAAATTTGAAATCTTATTGTAAACGATATGGCATTAGTCTTGCTTAGTCGCATCATTCATTGGCACTTAATAATAAATAAATATGTTATGTAACTTAGTTTATTATTACCAAACATACCATGTACTATGGCTATCTTAAAGCCTATATATTGGACTCTGTACCTAAGGCTGAATAAGGAAAAAACATTACTTTACTTTCTTCTTCACTTTCGGCTCTTTGCTCTGTTCTCTGTCTTCTTGAGATCTTCATGTTCCTGGACAAGAACTGAATCAATATCCAATAGTTCTTCATGGTATCAGAGCAGGAATAAAGAAGAAGCAAATCAATGGTCGACTCCAGCAGCTCAAGTCTCGGTGATCAAACCCATCGCACGGGATCAAATGTCATGGAGATACCTTCTTCACTCAAATTCGTTGTATCCAACCTCAAAAACATCGTCAACACTCCTCTCTCCACCGAAAACTACTCGCTCTGTCGATCGCAGATAACCAAGATTCTTCGGGCAAATGCGTTTGAACAATTTCTTGATTCAAAGGTTCAACAACCATCCCGTTTCTTGGATACATCGGAGGGTTCATCCATCCCGAATCCAGCTTACCGTCAATGGGTTCGCACGGATCAGAATCTGATGGCGGCAATTTGTTCGACTATATCGGCATCGGTATTACCTTATATTGTAAATCTTGACTCTACAGCCGATCTATGGGATATCTTAGAACGCAGGTTTCAATCGTCAAATTGCTCCAAGGTGATACAGCTCAAGAACGAGCTACATAATATCTCTATGAAGAATCAATCAATGACTCAATATCTCACAGATATTAAGTCATTAGTAGATCAAATCGCGGCGGCTGGAGCAACTGTGGAATATGAGGACATCATCCTGTATATTCTTAACGGGCTTCCACAACCCTATCAATCTTTCAAGACGGCAATCAGAACAATGCTCGTTCCCATAAGTCTTGACAACTTATATTCACTTCTTCTCAGTGAAGAAGTGAATATCGCCTCTGACACAGCTCGGGCAATAGCCAAGCAAGATCCCAATACGGCTCTCTATGCTTCCCGGGGTCGTGGACGACGAAATCGCGGCAATCTGCCTCAGAATTCAAATAATCGAAGCAAGACTTCCACGTCGTCAATCATATGTCAGATTTGTAATAAAAAAGGACATATGGCTGCCAATTGTTTGCACCGCATGAACAGCCAGTATGTCCCAAAATCTGGCAACTCTTCTCCAAAAGCCATGGTCGCACAGTCAGAACAAGCAACTACTGATTGGTATCTTGACTCTGGCGCATCATCGCATCTTACGAATTCACTCGACAATCTTCAAATCTCAGCCCCGTACACAAGAAACGATGGCATCACGGTAGGGGATGGGCGGTCGGTTCCGATTGCCCACTCAGGTGCTGGAATACTTCCAACACCTTCTCGTAAGCTATATCTTTCTCAACTTCCGCATATTCCCAAATTACATTACAATCTCTTGTCTATTTCTCAACTTACTAAGGATAACAACATCTCTATTGTTTTTGATCCTTTGGGTTTCACCTTGAAGGATTTGAAGACCAACCAAGTGCTACTTAAAGGTCCTTGTCACAAGGGCCTGTATCCGATTAATTCTCTGTCTTCAGGTGCTACGTTGAAGGCGCTATCTGCTACAGCAAATGGATCCAATATTTGGCATCAAAGATTGGGGCATCCACATAAAAGAACACTTGAAACAATTGCTAAATGCAACCCGTCTCTCAATATACCTGTATCTGTTTCTATTTGCAATTCTTGTAGGGCCAATAAAGGCCATAAACTTTTGTTTGAAAAATCTGAAAATCGTAGTAACAAAATTCTTGAGTTGATCCACTCTGACGTTTGGGGACCCTCACTGGTTACCTCAAATCAAAGTTTCCAATATTATGTGTTGTTTGTGGATGATTTTTCACGCTTTAGATGGTTATTTCCTATGATTCATAAATCTGAAGTAACTAACATTTTTATTAATTTCAAGGCGAAAATTGAAAATCTCACGTCTCACAAGATCAAATGCCTAAGGACCGATGGAGGCACAGAATATGTCAATTATCAACTCAAGCAATTTCTCATCCAACATGGCATTCAACATCAAATCTCGTGTCCGTACACGCCTGAACAGAATGGCATGGCGGAACGCAAACATCGCCATGTCATAGAGACCACACGCACATTACTTTCCAATTCGTCTGTTCCATACAAGTACTGGCCGGATGCAGTCTTGACGGCAACGTATCTTATAAACCGAATGTCGTCCCCCACCATCAAGAACATGTCACCTTATGAGCGGTTATACCATCGCAAACCCGCTTACGGGCATCTACGCACCTTCGGATGCGAGTGTTTTCCGTTGACCCCAAATCATCTACGTCATAAACTTCAACCGAAGGCAGCTTCTTCTGTGTTTCTTGGATACTCGGACACATACAAAGGCTATAAATGCCTCGATCTTGCTACTAACAAGATTCATATATCTCGCCACACAACATTTAATGAACAATCATTTCCGTTTTTTAAAATTAATTCTATGCCTATTAATACTACTACAGAGTGCTCTCCATACTTACTAACTCCAGTTTCTAAATTCTCTAAACCACTGCAGGCTCCTCCTACATATGCTCAACCCACTGCCTCTCCGATTATTCCTCACACAATTACCAACCCTACGGCTACCTGTGATGCACATCAACATACATTAGCTTCGGATGACAACCATATCACTCAGTCAAAATCCACTCAGGTACCGTGTCATCCAATGATCACCATAAACAAATCAGGGTCACTAAAACCGCGCCAACGTTTAAACTTGCTTCATGAACAAGTCAGTTCCATCCCTGATTCCGATCCGACCACATTCAACGAAGCGAACAAACACTTTGAATGGCGACAAGCAATGGCTAATGAATTCTTTGCATTGCAAAAACAAGGTACGTGGCAGCTTGTCTCTAAACCCTCCAATGCTCCTATCTTAAGTTGCAAGTGGACGTATCGCACAAAGCGTCATGCCAACGGTTCTGTGGTCACCTACAAAGCACGACTAGTGGCATTGGGTAATCACCAAGAATTTGGCATCGACTACAATGAAACGTTTAGTCCGGTAGCAAAATTACCGACAATTCGTATTCTACTAACGGTCGCACTCAACAATAACTGGCCGGTACAACAATTAGACGTAGCAAATGCATTCCTCCACGGCAACTTATCGGAAGTCGTCTACATGACTCAACCAAAGGGGTTTGAAGATTCGTCTCATCCCGAACATGTATGCCTTCTCAAGAAAGCGATCTACGGCCTCAAACAGGCCCCCCGACAATGGTATAACACTTTCACATCTTATCTTTTATCTATTGGCTTTACTCACAGCAAATCGGACCCTTCTTTGCTTATCCAACACTAGTCAGACACTACTATTTTTCTTCTCATGTACGTTGACGACATTTTGATTACTGGTAACAAATCTGAAGCAATTTCTCATTTACTGCAGCAACTAAATAGCACTTTTACTATGAAAAACCTTGGCTTGGTTAACTCTTTTCTTGGCATTAATATCACACACAACACAGATAGTTATTTTCTTTCACAAAAATCCTATGCCCAATCTATACTACAGCAGGCGTTTATGGTAAATTGCAAATCCATTTCTAATCCTTCCTGTACTAAGTTGCCTAATCAATTTTCGGAAGACAAGCTGCTTGCGGATCCACTTCTGTACAGGAGATTAACGGGATCATTGCAATATCTTACTCTAACACGTCCAGATATTGCATATACAGTAAATTTACTTTCTCAACACATGCATAACCCATTATCTCAACATATATTTATGCTCAAACGTTTGCTAAGATATATACAGGGAACCTTGTCATTCGGTATACCTATCACCAAGAGTAAGTTAACTCTTCAATCTTTCTCCGATGCGGACTGGGCCGGCGACCCGATATCCAGAAAATCTACGTCCGGCTACTGTTCCTTCCTCGGCACCACTCTCATTTCCTGGACAGTGAAAAAGAAACACACCACGGCCAGATCATCTACCGAGTTCGAATATAGAGCACTAGCGGCGGCAGCGACAGATATCATTTGGCTAAGGCGCATTCTCTCGGATTTCAACATAAATACCGATCTTCCAACCGATGTGAACTGCGACAACACATCCGCTATAGCATTGGCCAACAATCTGGTGTTTCACGCAATAACAAAACACATTGAAATAGATCAACATTTCATCCGAGATCACATTGCAAATAAAGCAATTCGTCTGCTACCGATTAGTACAGTTGATCAAGTAGTATATATTTTTACCAGGCCGCTCTCCACACCAAGATTTCAAAAGCTTCGTGACAAACTAACTGTATCGCAAGCTCCATCCGTTTGTGGGGGAGTATTAGAGCATAATAATAATAAATAAATATGTTATGTAACTTAGTTTATTATTACCAAACATACCATGTACTATGGCTATCTTAAAGCCTATATATTGGACTCTGTACCTAAGGCTGAATAAGGAAAATACATTACTTTACTTTCTTCTCCACTTTCAGCTTTTTGCTCTGTTTTCTA